CTTCCTCAAAAAGTGTCCTATGTGCCATTAAATGAAGTGTAGAATATTCTCATTACTCTTGCGGCTAAAGCAAGACATCAGCCACGTGATACAGAGTTATGCAGTGCCTACCTATCTAAAATTTTTATACTGTGCTTCTTAAAGCTTTTATTTTGAGGAAGGAAAAAAGGCATTTGTCTGAATATGGAGTCTAAATTGTACATAGTCCCTGTCATTCCCAAAGTAAATTTGTGAAACAAAATTTTGCCAAGTGTTAAACTTTGAAATTTAATGTACCAGATTATTAAAATACTAGCCATTAACTAGTTCACAGATTTTAAAAAATAAAATACATCCTGCTGTTAACAATAAGTAAATATAATAAATAACCTCCAAGAGCCTAAGAAAGCTCTTTCTTTAGAGGTGGTTCAGGGTCACCCCATCACAGCCTAATGTTGTCATGTTGGATGTAATTGGCAAGTATCCTGTCAAAGGAGTCAGTTACAACATTTCTTTCATGTTTAAAGGGAGGAAAAGAGAAAATGCCTCTGTGAGAAGAGTCCCCAGACATTGAAGAACTTGGAATATTGCTAAGCCCAGGGAAACAGGAGGGCACCTTCAAGTGAAGAGGGAGGGGGAGTAGTTTGGACAGGAAAGTCCCTTCTGAGTGTGGAAGACTTCCTGTGTCCATAAAGTGTGACAAAGAGACGGGGGTATCTGTGGTGGGAGAGGCAGATATGGAGGGAAAGACCCCTTAAAAACGATGCCTCGGTTTATTCCAGGACTGCACAGGGCCTTCGAACAGAGTCAAGGCAGGTCAGGTGATGACCTCCAGGGCAGCCTCCTTCCTCGAGGAGTCTGACCAGGTCAGACCAGGAGCATAGTCTTCTGAGAGTTGGCTCTGGCTCCTTCAAGGAAATGATCTGACCCTATTCAGACAGTTATTCCTAAAATAACTCTCCTCCAGCTCCATCGTCCCCTGAACCAACACAATAGAATCACGGGAATAGATACTCAGATAAGAGATGGGCCAGGGGACTCCATATTGGACAGGTGGGGAGCCTGCTGCTTTGGGAACTTTTTTTTTTTTAATATACTTTATTGATTTTGTACAGAGAGGAAGAGAGAGAGGTAGAGAGTTAGAAACATCGATGAGAGAGAGCCATCGATCAGCTGCTTCTTGCACACCCCCTACTAGGGATGTGCCCACAACCAAGGTACATGCCCCTGACCGGAATCAAATCCGGGACCCTTCAGTCCCCAAGCCGACGCTCTATCCATTGAGCCAAACCGGTCTCAGCTTTGGGAACTTTTTTGGCTCAGTGACTGAGCTCAGAGACTGCCAGTTACTTTTTTTTTTTTTTTTTTTTTTTTTTTGCCAGTATGATATTTATTCATTCAACATTAAATGAGTGAGTTAAGTACCCACTGTGGCCTACAGACTGTGGTTGGGGCTAAGGGTGTGGTAAGAAGGGGAAAGAGATGTAAGATGAATAGGTTTAGAATCTGCATGGGGAAGCTCACCACAGAGTGATTGAATGGAGCAGATATGAGGAGCTAACATACAACAACACTGTAATTTGCTTGGGGTGTCAAGAAAGCTTCTCAGAGGGGTTTATATTGTCATGAAGAAAGAGTAGGAGTTGGCCAAGCTGAGAAAAGGGCCAGGGAAGCAACCAGTATGCCAATGATTACAAATGCCAACTCTGGGTTCAAATGTTAGCTTAATCATTTATCAGATTGTAAAACCCGAATCAAGCCCTTAATCTTTCTGAGCTTTAACTTTCTCATCCATAAAATGGGAGTAATTGACTCAGGTCACAGACAGAATGAAATGAGATGGTAGCTGTAAAGTTCTCGGCCCAATGCCAGCCCAGAGTAACCACCTGCAAATATAGAGTAGGTTACTCTTCTGCCTGTTCTGTTTTTTTTTGTTTGTTTGTTTGTTTGTTTTTTTGTGTGTTTTTTTTTTTTTGGTTCTGGGTTCTTATGAAAGTGGTAAAATGGCACCCTGAGAAATCTGAGCTTTCATGGAGGTCCATAAATCAAGAAGGCTTTGGCTCCTGGATCTCCAATAGCCCTCTGGTAAGGCAGAACACATTGGCATCGTGCAATGTGCTAGCACAATGGAATACTCTTGTATCTTGGCTTCTGAAATACACAGATAAATGTATTCCAATTCTCTCTTAATTCTTCTGGCTCCCAGGCTTTACAGTGTGAGTCACACCTAATCAGATTCCAATGAGGAAGGACTGTAACGCCACCCCACCCCACACCCAGTGCACTGCCCACCAACTGTCCATACCTTCCTTCACAGGGCAAAGCTGCCATGCCCTATTGCACCTTCCTTGTGTTCTCTTTCCCTGCCCCACCTTGAAAAAAGAAAGAGAGGGAGGAGAAGGGGAATTCCAGTTTAGTTTAAACAGAACTCAGTAGGAAATGACATTTGTTTTCACAAGGAGGAAATGAAGCCTTTTCTGTTACCATTTAAAGCTGTGCTAATGTTGGCTCAGCCACCCCCTCATATGTTCAAATTATGATGCCCTGAGCTGTGGAACTTCCCAGGGGGAGGTTCCCCACTGCTTCTGAAAGTGGCAGATGCTGTGGAGGTGACAGGGAGCTCAGGACATAAGACATCCTAAGTGAGGGGCCTGATAAAGGTCTCCTAGCTCCAGATGACCTTTGCTCCCAAGGCGGGCACCCTCTGAGGAGAGCTGGTGGGTAGCAGAATAGTTAATAGGATGGTCCAAAGTATCATGTATTTTACCTGGCATGTTTTGGTCTCACGATGGGCAGTGCCAACCCTCAGAAGTTCCCCTTTGCTCAGCTTCCCTCAAGGCCCCATCAGGTAGAAAATCACCTGCTGATTACAGCTCTGGTCGCACAGACTATCCCTGAACAAGAAAAAGTGGCCTTAAAGAACCCCATTTGAAAACCATGGTTATACTAGACAGCTACTTGTCACGTCAAGGAGAAGCAGGTCACTCAATCACTTGCTGTTTTTTTTTTTTTTTTAAAGAAAGCACTGCACTTGAGTTGGAAAACTGCCTGGTTTATCTTTAGGAACAGGTGGCATATAAATAAATTCAGTAAATCACACAATTGGAGGGAATCCAACTGCTCAGAGTTAGGGAAGCGAGTTTGAGAAAGGCCAAACCTACAATTTCCTATATTAAACTATCCCTGGGCAAGAAAGAAGAGTTACAGGGCCGAAACCGGTTTGGCTCAGTGGATAGAGCATTAGCCTGTGTACTGAAGGGTCCCAGGTTCGATTCCCGGTCAAGGGTATGTACCTTGGTTGCAGGCACATTACCAGTTGGGGGTGTGCAGGAGGCAGCTAATCGATATTTCTCTCTCATCGATGTTTCTAACTCTCTATCCCTCTCTCTTCCTCTCTGTGAAAAATCAATAAATTATATTTTTTAAAAAAGAGTTATGGGGAAACCAACCATACCCCACTTTTTTAAAGAGGGTGAATTAAATTAAAATGCCTATTTTTAAATTTGCTCTTAATTGCAACCACTGTATCTTTTTGAAACTTGAAATACTCCTAACACCTTTCCTTGTAGTAATACTTCCTCTTAATAAGCTCTTTAAAATGTTGTCAATAGGCTTCCATGAACATGAAATTGCTCTCATTTCAGTGCATTTTAGAGGCCCAGAAGCTAAGTACAGCCTTTCAAAATAGGAGTGGAGGATTTTCTTAAGGAGATCTGACCTTAAACTTTCTCTATTTGATCTGGTCCGCACATTGGAGCATTTAGTGCCATAATGCTACCCTTACAATAGTAAAAAAAAAAAAAAAAAAGAAGAAGAAGAAGAAGAAGAAGAAGAAGATAAATGTACTGATGGTTATATTATTCATGCTCTAAAGATTCTGGGAGAAGGAAATGGGCATGTGAGTGAGTGTCCAGAGTGTGGAAGCTCTGAAATGGTGCAATACAGTCTATTTGTGTGGACACACCCAGCTCTGGTCTTAGTCTCTATTTTAGTAATGAACTACCTCAGCTCTCAGAGGCCTATTCATTTGCTGAAGTAGTAAATAATTTCTCGGTGGCCTGAAAGAGTAAGTGGGGTCCCTAATAATAGCATTTGTGCCAGAAAGTCAATATAACTATAGGGGACAAGAGCTCAATTGATTCTTGGCATTTCTAAGGTGAAGTAAAAGTGAACTATATACATTATTAGTCCAGAGCTCACACAAAAAGAGTGTTGTGCTTCAAAGTAGTAATCTTTGGAATCGGTATGGTTATTCTTCCAAGGCTACATGCTCAAAGGGGTGGGTGGTGTGTTGTTGTTTTTTAACTGCTCATTAATGGTTGCCTTTGGAACCCCATTTCAAACTACACAATAAAATATTCATGATACATTGTAATTGCACCAGATTAAGTCTATAAACAGAAAATACTGTGACCTACTAGACTTGATCTTGTTTTTAGACCAAGCTTCTCTACAAAATCAAATTCACCTTCAAGGATGAAAACTGGACATACTTCCCAAAGAGGAATTTTTTGAAATGCTTTGATTAGATGCCATCATTAAGATTAGTGCCTCTCCTACCAAGATGATCCTTTTGAAGCGGACACTACTAATACAACTGTGTGATTCTGGTTTATTTAAAAACCAACCTCATTACTTTGTAGTAATCCTCCAACAAAACATCCTAAGTCTCCCAATATTTTGCCAATGATAGAAAAAGGAACCAGAGTTTATAAAAGAACAAAGTAAGATTTCAGGGTATTTTAAATCCCCTACCACTGTAGACAGCAGCTGCAGCAACAGCAGATTGGTGTCATTCTTAAGAAGATAATCAAGTATTACTGTGGGCTGTTCTCTGATCTCCAGGCCAGCAAAACCATCTTACTAAATACTGACCATTTCCCAAAATCTCATATAGCATGAAAAGCATTTTGGTAATATAATTAAGACCCTGGATTTTATTCCAGTTCTGACTTCTCTGCAAAAGGATCTGGAGTGATTCCCCTTCCTCATCATCTCTCTGTGACTTTCTCCCTTCACAGGCAGCATTGCCGCCATTACAGTGACTGTCATTGCCGTGGTGTTGCTGGTGTTTGGAGTTGCAGCTTATATGAAGATCAGGTGAGAGGCACCTTACTGTCTTTCTTTTTTTTATAATTTATCTTTATTGTTGGAAGTTTTGCAGATGCATCCACCCCCCTCCCCCATTAACTCCGTCCTCCCCACTTCTGCTCCCTTCCCAGGCCTTCTCTGCACTAATGCCTGTATCCATAAATTATGTATATACTAGAGGCCCAGTGTACAAAATTTGTGCAAGGGGATGAGGTCCCTTCAACCTGGCCTGGACCCTCTCCAATTTGGGACCCCTCAGGGGATGTCCAGTTGCCAGCAGTTGGACATCCCTTTTACAATTCAGGACCGCTGGCTCCTAACTGCTCACCTGCCTGCCAGCCTAATAACCTGATCACACCTAACCGCCTCTGCCTGTCAGCTTGATTCCCCCCAACTGCCAGCCTGCTCACCTCTAACCGCTGCCCTGCCAGCCTGTTTGCCCCCCTCATTTTCCCTTTGCTGGCCTGGTCACCCATCACTGACCCCCCTGTCTACCTGGTCACTCCACGCAGCCTGCTGCTCAGTTGTTAGGCCATCCCTCGCTAACCCTCCTGCCAGCCTTTTTGCCCCACACAGCCTGCCGTTCAGTTGTTACTATGAGGGTGACATGACCAATTTGAATCTTACCCTTTTATTATTATAGATGTATATAAATTCTTTGGTTAATCTCTTCCTGCCCCCTCCCCCCACCACCCCCTACCTCACACACACACCCTCTTCCCTCTGAGAATCATCAGTCGGTTGTGTGCTTCCATGTCTCTGGCTCTATTTTGTCAATTTATTTCATTCATTAGATTCCATATATGAGTGAGATCATGTGCTAATTATCTTTCTCTGACTGGCATATTTCACTTTGCATAATACCTGCCAGGTCACTCCCTGTTGTCTCATACCTTACTCTTCTTTGTGAAGAAAGGGATCCCATGTTGTTTGGCTCCAGACAGAGGGTTATTTTGCTAAATGCTTGTTTCTTAATAAATGTCTTAGGTCCCAGATATATTGGCAGGGAAGTGAAAATGGCCAGTATACTCCACAGTGGACAGGAATAGATGGTACAGTATCTGAATCTTGGCAAAGCAGAAGAAACAGCTGAAATACACAGCATGATGATGTAATGGAACAAGAATGTATCTGGAATCAAAAGATGGAGGCCTTGCCTCACTGCCCTTAACTCACTGCCCATGAGGGAAGAGCCTGACCCTGAGGGAAGTGACTCCTGACCCTCAAATTGTCTCACCTGGAAATGGGACATAGCGGTGGGCTCAATGGTTCCCAACTACTGAAGTTCTGATGCATGCCAGTCTGTAAGAAAGTTTTCACGGGTCCTAAAGCAAAATGCTGAAAATACAAGGAAATGTAGCATTTTCTATAAAATGTTCCCTCCCCCCCCCGAGATTATGTCCTTATGTTTTTTATTTTAAAATACCTTTTGTTATGAAATGAAGGTGATCACAGATGGTAGCTGAGTTTTTACTCTTTTTAGCTAAATAGAAAGTTACAAACTATGAGCCCCCACTTTTGTTCTCTATTGCTCTGTGAAATCCCAAAATCTCAAAACCAGGTGGTGCTCACATATTTAATTTCTCATCCCTATGCACATATCACCTTTGCTGCCTTCTCTCCTGGCCCTCTTTCATCACTTCTAGTCACCCTGCCCTAAACAAAGCCCACTAGTAGGAAACTCTCCCTTCCTCCTTCCCTTTTATTTCTCTCCACTTCCTGTTTTAAATGTGCGCCAAATCAATGTAATGATGGTGTCCAGTAGAAGAATGCCCTATAATATCTAAGATACAAAGAACAGAAAAGCCAGGTTTGGAAGAGAAATTGTAATCAAATGGCCAGTATTACCTGTGTTTAAAAGCTTTTACAAAAGCATTCTTAAGTCTCTTTCATATTAAAAAAAATTTTTTTTCTCTTTATTAAATTTATATTTTCTTGAGCAGCAAACTTAATTTTATAAATTACATCTTACTAAATGGCACACTTTTTCACTATTTTAATTACTAGTTTATTACTGCAGATACACTAGATTTTAATTATAAGTTAAATTGGCTTTTATGAACTAGTCTAGGAACCTCATTCCCACTTTATAGCAAAGTTTCTCTTTGTGGTGGGGGTGCTCATAAAAAGGGCCCTGCGGATTGATTTAGAGTCATTCTGGAATCACCACTGGGGAGTGTCTGAAGGGCTATGACTCCTGGAATAGGACCTCCACTGGAGTGTGGCTAGAAATAAAAACTCTTCCCTCTTGCCACACACTTACCAAAAATTATGTTGAAATAACCCAAGGAAGGACTTTTCTTCTTGAATTCAGGCAAGAATTCAAATTGACCATCTCAAACCTCCCACTGACTACAGACAGGTAGTCTAGAATAGTGATTAAGAATTCGGACTCCTCAGCAGTGAGAGCTCGCTTTGAATCCCAGCTCTACTATTTTGGAGCAGGTTCTAGTGTCACCTGAGCATGCTATGGAGCTTCACTCGTCCTCATTTCCCTCCCATGTAAAATACGGGCCTTAATATTAACTCCATGCTAGCATTGCTGGGAGGATTATTGGATAATGACTCCCAAAGACATAGCCCTACCACTGCCACCATCATCTTCATCATCACCAAAGTGATCAACTGGAAGGGACCCCAACAATGGGACAATTGCTTGATGGTAGTTCTGAGCATTAGCCATGTGCCAGGCACCCTTCTGAGCCTGGGAGCGGGGCATCATATCCAGGATGAGACACAGTCCTGCCACCACAGAAATTACTGTGTTTGGAACATTTTTGTTAGCAGGCCATCTAAATGGGTTCTAATGAGTACTGGTTAAAATTGCATATCATTTTATCTTTAAAATTTAAATATAGCTGAAACCGGTTTGGCTCAGTGGATAGAGCATTGGCCTTCGAACTGAAAGGACCCAGGTTCGATTCCCGTCAAGGGCATGTACCTTGGTTGCGGGCACATCCCCAGTGGGGGTTGTGCAGGAGGCAGCTGATCAATGATTCTCTCTCTTTGATATTTCTAGCTCTCTATCTCTATCTCTTCCGCTCTGTAAAAAATCAATAAAATATATTTTTAAAAATTTAAATATTTTCTCAAGGCATTCTCAGCACCAGATAATGTGGTGAGTGGTTACGTTGAATCAGTCATGGTTCCTCTCTCCAAGATACTTAGATCCTCCCAAATGTAGAAAGGCCCCCGGGGACAAAAGGGTGCTGTTCATCTTTGGCACCACAAACTTTAGGATGAATAAAGTGATTAGATCTCTGCTTAGAAACCCCCTAAGGAAAACCCCATTCTGCTGCTCTGTTAATTATTTGGGCAAAATAACATAAGGAGGTTAATAACTTGTCATGAATCTTAAGGCTGTGTGCTAAAACCCCTTCAATTGTTGTTTTGCCAGGTTCTTGGAAAGACCTGCTAATCATTCATCAAAAATACATTTGGTTCAATTGACGTGTGTGTGTGTGTGTGTGTGTGTGTGTACGCGCACATGTGTGTGCATGTGTCTACTTAAGGCTGGGTTTTGCTTTGGCTGGAAATTTATTTTATTTCTATGAGAACAATAACATGGCAAGAAGTCTGCTGTCTGTGGTCATTTAGCTCACTTGGCTAGAATAGCAAGTGACTGAAATATCAACCCATGAGGGAGCCATTAGCTTCTGGCCTGAAACACAGGCTGTGTCCCAGCAAATGCAAAAGAAGAGTCTGCTTGAGAGAGCAGCAGCCTCACAACCAGAAAAAAAGGGCGCCCCTTGCAAGCTCTGCTGCCAGAATCTTAGTAGTTTGACCTTTCTCCCAAGTTCTACTTGCCTCCGAAGGCATCGGTAAACTCATTAGCCATCTGTTTCCACACCCCGATTCTTTGGGGACCGTAACCCCTAGTTTTGTCACAGTGTCCCCTGCTGGAGAGCTACCACATATCTCTGAGACCTAAATCACTTTTGAATGCGGCTCCTAAAAATGAAGTGCCCTGTGCCTTCCAGGGCTCCTCTCCATTATCTATCAACTGTCCCCCACCCCCACCCCCTGCCAATTGTAGCCAGCAGCAGTGTGGTATGTATGAGAGGAGGAACATGGGTGTTGTAGTCAGGTTCTACTACTATTTAGGCAAATTATAATCTCTTGGATCTTTAATGTTTTCATCTGCAAAAATAGAAGTAATATCTATCTTCCAAGCTTGTTTTGAAGATGAAGTAATGAATGGGGAGTACTGGGAGAGACCAGATAGCATGGTGGTTAAGAACATGCACAGTTTCTTCCTTTGTAAATGGAACTATACTAATGCCTAACTCAGGCTTGTTACCTTGGGATACAGATAAACATACCATGCCAGGGTATGAGATGAGAGCGATGGGAGGGCTAACCACTGTTGTTGCCATTTTTGTTAAAACAATTCTTATTCAGGTGCTTAGCAAAATGGTAATGTCCAGCAGTCCCATTTGGTAGACATCAGGGAACCAAAGGCGAGGGGGGTGGTAGGAAGAGGAGGAGGAGATGGCCCAGGAGCTCTGTTTTCTAATATTGCATTTTGGCAGTTTCAATTGTGCTCCTTCTAAATGCCCGTGAAGTTGCATCCGTGTCGCATGTTCACAAATAGAAACTACCTCCGAGTACTCTTTATTCCAGGGCTTATTTGCAACTTTAAAAGAGAGCAGAGGCCTTGCCTGCCTCTTGCAGAAGGGTGTCTTTAATTAGTGATGATTGAAGAATGAAGTAAGTCATTGTTTAGTTTAAATTGGCTCAAAACCGGTCAGCCACGAGATAATCCCCTGCGCAAGAGACCATATCTGCTATCGCCAGCAACGTGGATGCTGCTATAATTAGGTGTGCTGGCAGCCCAGACAGACAAGACGGCTGTTCCCTTCACAAAAATAAATGTGGTATTGATTTATAGACACAACAGGGCCTCGCTCTGAAGGCATCTTGTTAGAAGTCACCTGTTTTGCTTTAAGTCTCCTGGTGATTATATTTTATAGAGCTGGATTCTTTCTCATTATTGTTAGGTTTAAAGA